TTTCTATCTCTCCCTTCCTCTCTCTGAAATCAATAAAGACATATTAAAAAAAAAAAAATTGCAGAGTTGAATAGCTGAGATACAAAGTCTAAAATATTTGTTATCTAACCCTTTACAAAAATAGTTTGCTAAGCCACGTCCCAGTACATGGAGAATAGAATCGGTTAGTGATAAAGCAAAGCTACAAGAACAATTAGAGGCATAGAAAGCACATTCATTCAGATGTGGAATTATTGACTCTCAATGCATGATATAATACATTAATACACACCTAATTCCTGTTAAAACCAAGACTAAGTCTAAAATTCATGTCTGAATAATTATTGACTATAATATCAGTGACATAAGTTTTCAGAGCAGTGGTTGTATAGGGTATATTCCCAAACCTGATGCTCCTTTTTAATTATTGTTTAACTTATTTTAAAACATCTGGCACAGAAAGGAGAAAGTGATTTAAATATTATCTGTTTAATTTCCTAACCTTCTGATGCCCTTTTGCAAACAGCTTGTTTGAAGCCCATAGAGATTAGGCTACTCAGAATAACCCTTCTGTGTCACTTTTCGAAACTGAATTTCAGTACATGCTGTTTGGATTTCTCTGAAATAAGCAGCCACAGGGGTTTGAAAACTCTAGCACAGATTTATAACAAAATGAAAAAAGATTGGATACTGTCCAGAAATGTGTGATGGCACTCAAAGCAGAATGACATTTATTGAAGCAATACTTCCCCTTAATACTGTCCCACATGAAATTTGTCTTCTTGTAAGCAGATTACCTTCATAGACAATGTAGGGACAGTACTTAATAACAGTGAATTATATCAACCAAGCTACTAAAATTAGTAATGATTTTGTTTATAAATAGCTGTGTAACTGTATTTTATTTTGTGAACCCTAAAGTGGAACTCTGTATACTGAACTTCTGCTAACTTATCACCTTACTCTTGTTTAGAGCATGCTTTTAAAAAAAATTTTTATTAAAGATTATCTCTTAAGCCACTATTATTCTTTACATGTTGGGGAGAGTAAACATGCATTACCAGGAGATATGGATTCGAATGTTCAAGAGTGTGTGTGTGTGTAGACTGAAAAATTTCTGCCTCTCTTAAGGTTCTTATATATCTCATTAGGAGGCATTCCCCAAACTTTTGATGAAAGTCTGTGGACTAGAACAATGAAACTGTGATGAGAAATTATATTTTCATTTTCAAGTAAAAGTATCATGCACACCTGCTTGATAAGATATTAGTGGCTTTATAACTTGAGACAGGAAATCAGAGAGGTAAAAGACCTTTTTCATATCTTTGTAATAATGACTTTTATTCTGAACAAAGATGGTCTATTATTTTGAAAACAAAATAATGAAACTGTAGACATAAAAAGAATTCCATCAGGTCACTTTGTCCATTCCCTTTGGATGCAGGAAGGCTGAATATTAATATATCTCATTTATATTGCTCTGCTATTTTGAAATCTGTTTTGCATCCAAACTTCCCTTTGGGAAAATAGGAAAAGAGAGTCGAGAAGATTAGAAGTCTGCCTGTCTTGGCTCGGAAGTGAGATGGCATCAACAAATGCAAAGGTTGAGCAGGGTAGGAAGGGAGTCTGGGAGATTTTGGACAGATCCATTTTATGATGTGGCAGCGTAGAGAGGAAAATAACCATTGGCTTTGGCCAACAATATAGATGTCAAGTGAGTTGCCAAATGCATTAAGTCAGTTCAGATCCATTTGTCAAAGTCAGGATGGGGCTCAGTAGCACAAAGTTTCTCTAGGTTTCCCTGGTTGGAAAACTTTAGACCACTCACTGTAGTCCAAGTGTGGGTACGTGTCTGCTGGGGGCAGGATGTTGGTCATGGTGGTGGTTCTTTGTGACCTACTTCTTAGGTCTGAGGTTGCTAATGGACTCACTGGGAATTCTCTGTCAGAACATATCTGGTTTTCCTTTTGGGTTACTGCACAGATTGCTGGAGTGTTCTCTGTCTGGTCGGGTATTAGTGTTTTACACAGGCCGGGGAAGAGTGACAGATAGCACTTTCTTCCCTATGGTCCCATGGCTGTCTGTGCTCTTGTATTGAACCTTTGATCCCATTCATGATGGCTCCACCCTCATGACCTAATTACCTCCCAAAAGCCCCACCTCCAAAATTCATCACATCAGAGAGTAGGGTTTCAGTGTATGAATTTGGGGGGGTGGGGTGGGCACAAACATTCAGTCCAGAGCATCTACCTCAGATGGCCTGCTACTTCTTTTCTACTTCTTTTTAATTGCTCTACTACTCACTCTGTTCCCTTCCTACAAAATGTCAATGTAATTTTTCTAAAAATGTTTCCTTGCTCTGTCTCCCCTTCCCTCTTCTTTTCTCCCCACCCCTCCTCTCTCCCCCTCCTCTCCTCTCTTCTCTTTCTTTTAGCTTCCTTTCAGTAATTACATGGCTCAATCTTAAGCTGTACATAGCTGACACCAAATCTAAGTGTTTTTCCTGACCATTGTTAACATTTGGATATTTCCATTTGGATGGTCATCTGACTCTTGACAACAAAAAGGCCAAACTGAGCTCATTCTCCTCCCTCTTCTTTCTGCAATTATTTTAGCATTCTGGTTACCAGATTCAAAACCAAATTATCATTCTTTACATCTTCCCTTGGATCCTTGCCTTTGATGAATTTTTAAATTCTCCTGTTAGGATCCTTCTGGAACGCCTATTTTTGTTGCTGCTATACCGGAACTGGCCAACTCCAGCATACTGTGGTTTTGGCGTGCACGGGACGTGCTGGAATGGAAGTCCTAGTTGCAGGGACCAGCATGTCCTGTGTGCAGTCATGCAAGGGGTAATTTATGGGAGTTAAGCACTGGCAATAAAGATAGAAATCATGTTGTTCATAGGGTCTGAAGAAGAGTTTTATTTGTTGGATACATAGGTGGCAAGTGGCCACCCTCAACTCCTCGTTGGTTGTTGGCTGGAGGCCTTGTCATGTGGACCTTCCCCAAATTGCTACATCTTTATCAGAATCAGCAAGAGAGAGCATCCTTCCAAGATGCAGCTCACAATCCTATGTAACCTAATCATGGAAGTCACATCCCATCAGCCTATTCTATTGGTTATTCTGTTGACTAAAAGTAAGTCACCAGTCCCATCCACATTGAAGTTAGAGGGGATCATGTGAGGGCTGGAACACCAGGAGAGGGGGTGATGGGGGCTATGAGAGAGTCTGCTGATCACACATAGGTAGGAAACACAATTCTTGTCACTTCTATAATTCCATCAATGCAAAAGCATCGATCCCATCATTGACAATATTTATTTAGGTTAAATGACAAATATTTCAGATATTAGAAAGCCAGTAGGAGAAGATTTTTCCCTGTTTCTTCACTTAATTAAGCAAAAATGCAAGCTTTTCTGTGGGGTTCTGAAGGTTGTCTTGTGGATAATATTACATTATTGTTTTTAAAAATAATTGATATTAATGAGTTAATTATAAAATAGAATAGTTATTAACTAAAGCCCTGATTTTGTTTTCTTCAGAAAAGTGACTGTTGCCAAGGAAGTTATCCTAACTCTTATCTTCAAAATGCACTCTCTTTTAAAGTCCTTTAAAACTTTATCTGTTATATTTTCCCCATATGAAATAGGTCTATATTGCTCTTGTTATTTTACAAATGTGTAAATCAAGTCACAGTTAATCAGGAGCAAAGGTTTTAGACACCCTAAGAGCTGATCTCTTCCTTTTTTACTAAACCTTCAAATTTATTACAGTCAGGCTGGGATTATCTGGTAAATATATCACCTTGAATTTATCAGACCCGTCCATTCCTCTGTTCCTTGTCTTTGCCATTTGGTTGTCTGTCTGTCTATCTGTCTCTCCCCTCGCTTTCTAATCCAGTGATTATTTTCAGAGCCCATCTCTGCCTATCATTTCCCATCTTACTATTTTATTTTTTTAAAAACATATTTTTATTGATTTTAGAAAGAGAGAGAGAAAGGGATAGAGAGATTTCTGAAACATCGATGTGAGAGAGAAACATCAATTGGCTGCTTCCTGCACACCCCCTACTGGGTATTGAGCCCCAAACCAGGCATGTGCTCCGACGAGGAATTGAACCAGTGACGTCTTGGTTCATGGGTCGACTCTCAACCATGGAGCAACACCGGCCGGGCCCTATCCTACTTTTTAAAATAGAATTTTTCTCTTTCCTACACTATGCATAGAGGTGTTTACTTTTATGAAGTCATTAATGACTTGATAGCTTCCCCCCTTAGAATCACTGAAGTGAATTAAGATATATCCTGTGAGATTTGGTCAGCTTTTCCTTGACTTGAATTATTATAATCTGTACATGTGTCTGCTTCCACTCTGTCATTATTGACGGCCCTGAAATAAAGACTTCTCAGAGGACTGAAGAAATTTGGGATTATGTTCTACACTATCCCAATGAGACTCCCTCAGGGCTGAGTCACTTAAGACATTTTAGTGGAGCAGAAAGTAATTTTAATTAAGATCTTAAGCTTATAAACATGATGACTCTTTACTTGAAGGAGGAAACATATACATGGGATTGCAAATAAAAAGAAGAAATAGATATAGGTACTTTTTCTCCACCTCTAATTTTAGAGATGTAAGTAGAAGCAAAAACAAATACAATAAAAATTAATACATCAAACCCATTAGCAATGATTAATAATCTCCCATTCATATTTTTAAAAAGCATAACACCTTAGTAAACTTACATGTGGATCCAATTAAAATGGTCAAAATCAGGTCCAGTTACCTAGTTATTTCCAGAGGTCAGGGATTTCTTGCCACTGGAGCCATGATATAAAAATTTCTCTGAGCAAACAAGTATCTACCAGATGTGCGCATCACCTAGGTGATGCATACAAAACCTTGGATGTTCTAGACCTTTCTTTCTGTCACCCAGATGACAATGATGCTGGTTTTGTAGTTTTAAGAATTTGGAATCATGAAATATAGGTTGGAGATCAGGGGGCTAATACTAACCTGACACAGGTGCCATTGCTGTGGCATTGATGAGCACACCAAGGGACATGGCAGTTCTCAATGTTCTTTCCACGTAGTGCTTCATCAACAATGAGGAATTCTTTGTTGTTTACTTGAAGCTCTCCAATGCAGCCCTTGAACCAATAAATATGGCCTGCATTCCTAGGAATCTTAACATTTTCAGGAATATGGCCAAGGAACATTGATTCCATATGTACCTGTAGGAAAAATAACAATAAAAAACCCCCCTTCTTATAAAGTGTTGAATCATAGTAGAAAAGCCTAGGATATTTTGTTCTGTAATTGAATATTCTTCTGTGTTAAACAGGTTTCCATTCTTGGCTAGTTTTGTCAACCCTACGGGGAGGTAAGATAAGTTACTTTAGAAAAGGGACTTTATTTAATATTTCTTTTGTATCTCTCACAGTAGCTAATAAAATTTAGTACAAAATTGGGCATTTGACAAAACTTGCTGATTGATTATTTGAAATGTATTTTGGAACTCAAGGGTTTGCATTTCAATGTGAACATTACCAAATAATAACTGATAAAGAAAATGAAACCTTGTTATTTAATTATTGTCAGAGATTGAATTGTGCTACCCAACCCCTCCTTCATATGTGGAAGTCCTGACCTCCAGTACCTCAGAATGTGACCTTATTTTGAAATAGAGCTTATACTCATGGACTAAAATGATGATAAAATCATTTGCATGATATAAATTGCTACTTAATCTCTCCTTTCTAACCCCTCAGCAACACAAATAAATTGCATCTTTATCGTTTAGATGTACATAAATGCGGCTCTTCTCAACAGGAGTCTATGAGCTACCGTTGAAGTCTGGATGAACTGGTAATGAGGCTGTGCCCTTCAGGGCTGTTACGCGTATGACAGGTCCGTGCAGCCGCATTGGTGTGGTTTATGTCTCTGATGTGCTTACGATCCCCAAACTCACTCACTCGGGCCAAGCTGATGCCAGGAAGTATTTAATTTGGTATTACAGATACATTTAAATGGAAAACTGTCATTGTAAGAATTCAAAAACGAGAGCCAAATAATTAAGCTATGACTCTGGTGGGAGGAGAGGATGGGAGATGCCCAGTTAATATTTATACCACTATTTTTTGGTTTAATGCAAATGTGCTTTTAGAGAACAGAAAGCATGTGCAATCCTAGGAACATCAAAGCATCTCCATGACACGTAACAGATCAAACTAATTCTATTAATTGAGCTTTTATTCTTTTCTGGTGACTCAGGCTCTGCTCCTAGGAGCATTCCTTATTTTTTTCCCTAAGCACTTCATATAGGTCTGTTACATACAACCCCCCAGAGGATGAGTACCGTTGGGTATAGCGGGGTGGAAGTTTCAAGGTGTATTAACAGAGCCCGCATGCAGCACACGGGTGCGTCTATTTGTTTTCATGTTCTTTTTTATATGCTACGTCCATTTATATCAATTACTCTAACAAACTATTAGCAGAGCTCTTTTATCACCTAAGATAAGTGACTCACTGCTAATGCAATCTGGGATCTATCCTGAACCTGCAGACTCAGCGAACCACGGCTGCGACCTTCCTCTCACTGAGAATCTCTGACATCTTTGCGTATTGATCACACACCTGGAGCAGCAAACCTCTCACTGCTTTGACAAGTGTGCTGTTTTAGCACAAAACTGATAGAAGATGAGAGAATATTCCCCTCTAATGTCAGCAGTAGGCAGATCAGAGGGAAAGGCTATAGAGCTACCTATGATGTATTAGACCATTAAAAAACACCCAAACAATGGGAATAAATGGCTCTTGTATTTCTTCTGATCTGAGTCTCAAACTTACTCGGAGCCCTGAAATGTCCAAAAAAACCCAGCTGTCGTTGACTGCACATAGATAACCATTAAAATGGTTGACTTCCTCTATCCCCAGACTCTCAATTATCTAAGAGCTGCCTATTGTGTGTACAATCATTCCTAAGAAGACAGGTCTTTAAAATAAGTCTTTTCTAATAACTTCTTGTGAATCAGACTATGGAAAATAGAGTCTGACATCAAGATATGATCTTACAAGCTAAAACCACAGAGAACAGACATGGACAATCAAGGAGGAATCATCAAGATAATGAAAAATATAAATGGTGACTGAGGGGAAAGGACTCCATGTCTGACAAGAATGAATGAGCATTCCCTTTCCTCTCAGAGTTTCTCTTTAAAGCAAGAATATTGTGTTCTTTTATAATATGTGGGAATAAAATGAGAACATAAGCAAAAGGGAATAAACTTTTAAAAAACTGGAGTGAGGGGAAGATGGGTAAGAAGTTGCTTTATCTCTTTTCTGTTTTATCTTCATTTAAATTTAGATATTGGGGTACTACATACATTTCTGTTATGATATCTCAATCCAATGTTCACTTTTGTTTTACATTCTCAAGTCTGTCCGAAGTTAAATAACTTCTGTGTTAATGAAATATAGGAAGGTAACTGCAAATGTATTTTTTGGTTAAGATGAACTATCAGAGTATACTTGTCTTTATCCAAGAATATAAACTGAAACGAACTGACTTCTATTTAGTGTTATTGCAGATTTTTGTTTTTAATATCATCTGAATTGCATGCAGACAAATTCAAAACCAGAGACATGGGGTCTTGGAATAAAGGTAGATAAGAGATGTTGGGTAAAGTGTTTGGAAAGAAGATTTACTTAACAATAACTTTTCACATGTGATTTAAGCCTTAAATTCTTTAAGACTGCTTATAGATATTAAATGAAAGGGAATTAAGAGGCAGAAGCAGTATTTATCCAAACCCTCCATCCCTTTGCTGTTAGTCTCTTCTCTCCCCCAATAACATGGTAATCTGTGAGTTTGCAGTCTCTTTTATATTAATTTATACCCTCTTTTAATCTGAGCCTCCACCCCTCTTCATCTTGGGATTCTCTGAGTCTGTAGCAGCACCTTGCATGTAGGAGGCTTGATACAAGTTTGTATACAATGACCTGATTCATGAAACTCAATTCTGCCTTTCTTCAGTATCCTACTTGGCTTTCAGGTCTCTTCTCATGCTTTGAGTTGCCTTAGAAACGTGCTAGTTTGTCAGATTCAGCATTTGGAGGGGTCTTCACTGAAAACCACCCAAGAAGGAGTATTAATATGGTTTTAACACTAATATATCCCCATATGTATATATAGCACAGGGCAGTGCTTATATGGAAGTTCTTGAGTTACATATGAGATTAATATCAAGGAGCTCACACAAAGGATTACTTTTTAATTTGAAAAATATCGGTGAAACCCTCACTGGTCCCATACTTCACAGTTAATCTTTGATCCTTAAGGCTTTTCAGGCTAAAGAACATTTTCAAAATAATATCTTCTCACCTTGTTGAAGGAATAACTGAACTTTAGTAATCAATAAATGGAGTTGCTATCCTGTGAGCACATGGATATAGGGAAGTAGAGACAGAAAAGGAGGGTGTGAGATTATTCTTGTCTATAAGGAAGTTACATGTAACCTGGGGAAATAAATCATAAAGAAATTAAATAGTCAGAAAAGAGCAGCTTTTTGGTCAGTAAGATGGCAGAATAAGAAGCTCCAGATATTCCTTCCTTCCCTCGTGGAGACACTGATTCAACAATACACAGAGTCTCCTTGTGAGGTGTGTAGATTCAGCTGAGAAGCACTTATACCCTAAGCAACTGTGAAACCAGCTGTATTGAGGCCAGTAAGGACATATGTGGGACTCACTCACCATAGACCTCCTCTAGGCTTATTGGGGGCATGACTGAGAGAAAACTCCCAGTTTCCAGCTTCTCTCTGGGGGAAATAGAAAACTAAGACATATATCCTATGTGTAGACTTTTCAGGATGCCGCCTAAGGGATTAATTGCTATCTATCTGAATCTAAGTGCTGACAGGAAAGGCTGCCAGGTTGGGGTCACCGAGAACAAAGATGACCATCATGTATTCACTTGGAATAGTCCCTCCTCCACCTCAGTGGGAAAGAGTAGGTGAAAACCCCCAACTCCTGACTTCTCCCCGGGGATGGAAAGAGCTGGAATGTGTATCCAAAATTACATCTTTTCAAAGGCTACCTGAAGAATGGGTTTCTGTATCCCCTGTCATGGAGCACTGACAGAACCTAGAATACTCTAGATGCCTGGGTATTACTAAAAACAAGAGAGCTAGATGGTGTCCTGCTTCCCCAGAGAATCTGTGACACAGCAGAGACTGATTCTGCTCAGTGGCCTCTTCCTGGGGCTGAGGTGGGTGTGGGTAGAGAAGAGTGGAACCTGCTTCTAACATTTTGGATTTTCAGGGGCCTTCCTGAGAGACTAGTTTCTATTTTGCTTCATCTGGAGCTTTGATGAGACCTAACATAGTCTAGAAACTTGGAGGCTGCTGAGAACAAAAGAAAACTGGGCTGCTTGTGGCAGCTCTAGAGAACCTGCAGTACTGCATACAGACAGCAGAGGGAGCAAAAGATTACAGGCACATCCAAAAAAGACATTGGTAAATGTGTGTAATACAGGATTTACACACACAAGTCTAGAGAAAACACATCCATAGTAAAGACTTAAGAGGGTCCCAGGATCTCTAGCTGGGCTATTTGGTGTTGGTCCTTTCTGATACTAAGCCATTCCATAAACACTGGGAGAGATGGCTGTTCTTTCAGATGGGGGATCCCATCACAAAGTGACAAGCACAAGAAGAAACAGGAACGAAATAAATCTCCAGAAACCAACCCCAAAGAAATGGAGATGTATGAACGACCTGACAAGTTAAAAATAACTGTTATAAAGTTGCTCAATGAGCTCAAGAAAATGAATCATGAAGAAAATGAGAATATCAATAAAGAGAAAATAGAATAAAAAAATCAAACAGAAATTTTAGAGCTGAAGATACAAAACTCAATTAAAAAATTCATGAGAGGAGTTCAACAGAAGACTTGATCAAGCAGAAAAAAGAAGCAGCAGACTTGAAGACAGGCCAAGTTATAGCACCCAGTTAAAGGAGCAAAAGTAAAAAAAGATTAAAAAGGAGTAAAGAAAGTCTGAGGGCTTTACCAGACATCATCAAATGGACTAATATTTGCATTATTGGAGCCCCAGAAGGAGAAGAGAGAGACAGGGGCAGAATGTTTATTTGATGACATAACTTTTCAAATCTGGGAACCCAAAGGACTAGAACAATAATGAACTCAAAGAGGCTTACACCAAGATGCATTATAATCTACTTAAAAATCTCTTACTATATTATAATGAGCAGGGTTAGAACCTGTTTTTAGTAGTTTGTATTACATTTCATGACTTTTAAAATTAAGTGACTTCAGCTCACAAGATCCTCAGCACTTACACCGTTATTCCACAAATTTCCACCATCTTCTCATTGTAATAAAAGAGGAAAAGGGGGTAGTAAAAGGTGTACTCAGAACAAACAACTGGAGGCTGGCTCCAGGAGTCTATTATATACCATACCTCCAGGACTGGGGTCTAGTCTGTGAGAACTCACGACAGACAGCCTCCACAAGGGGGACTAACATGAGCCCTGGGCTAACCACTCTAGATGGCAGCAGTGATTCACTCAGACTTCAGAGCACTTGATTTGCGATGAACACAAGGAGGCAGAATGTTGTAAAAAAACTTTAGAGAGCCTAAGTGCATTGTCTCTTTACCACCCTAAAACTATCCAAATGTTTTTCAATTTAATCATAAATTCTATTCCCATGTGTTGCTCTTTGTGTGTGCATATGTATTACTTGGGGCATTCTGATCGGTGTTTCATTCAGTCAACCTAAAGGGTGAGGAGACCGATTTGTCACAAAGGCTACAGCTATAAGACATATTTACCATTTTCAACAATAAAAAGATATTTATCGAGCATTTGTTGAATTCTCTTTATTAAAGATATGATCCATTGATAACTATGTTAGTAGTATATTGTATGTTATTTATAAAAATATGAAGCTTTTAATGTAAAAATGGATGACTATAAGGAATTAATAAATATAAAATCACACTGAATATTCACATTGGATATTAAAAAAAAACTATTAGTGTTTCATGTACAGTGGTACCTCGATTTTCGAATTTAATTTGTTCCCGAAGACCATTCGAGTTCTGAAATGTTCGAAAATGGAGGGATCAACAGCCGACAGCTAGGCCTTAGGATCTTGCCCTCAGCGGAAGCCATGTGGCATGTTCGACTTCCGAGACGTGTTCGAAAACCGAAGCATTCACGTCCAGATTTACGGCGTTCGTAAATTGAAATGTTCGTCAACGGAGACATTCGAAAACCGAGGTACCACTCTATTTTCCATGATTTGAATATTCTATGTCTTGAATCTAAACATTTGGCCATTTTGGGCTCTAGCATGACTTCTTAAACCATGAACACCAATTTTATTCCTACTTAACATTCTGCCCGACAGTTTTGAATTTGGTGCAGCAGGTGAAGAACAGCAGAGTGTATTATAAAGGAACAAACAAGGGTCGTGGATCAGAAAACCTGGGTCAAGTCTCTATTCCCCTCACTATGAAATTTTGGACATATGACTCATTTTCCTTGGGTTTATGGAAGGGATCATCATTATTGCTTTGGAGGGTTCTTGTGAGGATCAGATGTGACAATATATATGTCCATAATTTGGAAAATGTAATGTGCTTATGCAAATGTTAGATGTTCTCATGCGCCTCCTTTAAATGCCTGCATATACTCGACAGAGACTATGTAGGAAAAAAAAGGAACTAAAATGAAATTTTCAATTCATTAGGGCACTACACACTGCAAGCATTAATGTGTATCAAAATTAGCACTTTGGAGATCTAATTATACAGATTAACTCTCCATGATGATCAAATGAACCAGGAATTCTTTATCTTAAATGTATTGCTGTAAAGTCATACTAAGAAGTGTGGAATCAACCACATCATTAAAAATAAAAGAATTCAGCAAATTGCCTGGTCTCTGGAGGGACACACATCCTCTCTTGTTTCAATTTAGCTTCATTCAATGTTTCTAAGAAAAATATCCTGGCCTACATAAATCTATCCAATGGAGAATGGACTTTTTAACAGCACGGTACAAGCACTACCATGTTCTATAAAAACGTAAGTTTTTAAGCACTGCTTTGTATCTTGCTAATCTTTCCAGATTCTTGAGCTTTTTCTTAAATCAAGCATAATATATTAAATGCCAAGTTTGAGGAGAAAATCAATTTCATGCTAAATTTAATAAAACTTTTATAGTGACAGGCAACATTAAATATATTTAATTATACCTAAAGCATCAGAGATAAATATTCTGCTGTTTTGGTGAGAGCTTTTACAAGGAATTTGTCCAATAAAAATATGATTAACACAACAACTTAAAGATACTTATTTGAAACATTGAGGGAGCATTTAGTAATGTTTGAAACTGGATATAGGCATGCTTACCTGAGAGGCATGGGATATTTTCGTGTCTTTCTTCTGTATTGGAGGTTTTCCATCTGCAGTCATTTCAATCATACAGGCCACCCCAGGGCTGCCAGCAGGCATTGTGAAGCTAGAAATAAAAAAGAAGAGGCCATTAATGTAGGTGCTATTGGCATGAACAGGGTACCTTCACACATGGATGGTAAGTACTTCCTCAATGAGAGAGCTACTTTCTGGATCACAATAATCCTGAAATATGGCCTCAACCAAGTGTGAACCTTTTAGGTTAGATAAAAGATATATTTCTTTTCTAACACTGCACTGTATTCTCCTTCTCTCCTCCTGTCTTTAAATCAGGGCTTGAAATGTTTTCAGAAAGTGAAACCCCACAAAGCAAAAAGAACTTTCTGTGTCTAAGTAGGTATTGATAAATTTTGTGTTAAATGTGGTCGACATATGGTCTCACTCATGTAGGACACTGCTGGACAAGTAACATCAACGTTAAATGATGCTATACTCCCTAGGTAGAAATTTCCCCTCCCTGGCCTACAGGGGAAATAGAAATGGAATAAGAAATGAAAGGCTGCATACCCCTGAGCAGTGAGATTACACTGTGATACAGTTATCAGAACTCAGAAAGCATGCTGCTAATGTACTGGCTGGTACTGCGTTTCAGAGATAAAGGAAAGTATAAGGTTAGGGGAATTTGTAGAATGAATGGCGGAAATGGTTAATACATAATTGAAAATTTATCAGAATTACAGAGTGATGCAATCAGAAAAGTTACATATATTAAAGTACTTAGCATATTTTTAAAATAAAAATTTAAAAGACAATTTGAATGACATTACCATTACTTGACATATGTAATAATAGTGACTTGCACTGTTATGAAGTCTACTTCATAGAGATAATAGGAAATACATTTATTAACACTAACAGTGGCAATCTCTGCATATTGAACGTGTGAGTGATTTTAATGCTCAATTTTGCTTACTTGTATTTTCTAAATTTTGGACAATGAACACACCTAATTTTTATTTTTAATTTTAAGCAACTGCCATAATTTTTTCAGGACTGAGTGGGTTCCCAGGACATGGGGCTTTTTGTGTTAAAACCAGGGACATTTCAGGCAAACAGGGTCAGTCGGTAATTCTACTTCCCAAATAAAAAGTCAGTTTTATTAAGCAGTCATTGGTTAAATCATTTACCAATACTTTTTCTTAAAATTAACTTTAGAGGATAAGCGGAATGAGAAAACAAACTGGAACGGCCCTTTCCCCCTCTCCGTTCCAGAAGAGACAACTGTCCGCTGATTCCCTCTTCCCTAGAAATACAAATCTAATGGCCCTGGCAATACATTATTCCACTACTTTTTTGGCCTCTACTCTAGTTTACCAAGGTCACTTCAAATTCTGATCAGGTCCCTGTTGAAAGTTCTAGTGCTGTAGTAGCTTCCAGAGCGTCCCGTTTGTGTGAACTGTAAATGGTGAGGATCTACGAAGCACAGCTGCCATCCTAGTTGATATGGGCAGGTGAACGTCTACAATGCTTTATACTGCAGATAGAATAGTGCTGAGGTAATGCACGTATTCTTATTCAGAAAAAAATCTCCTTGTTTCATTTAGAGCCTATTAATTCTAACCCTGAGCTGCAGATCCACAAAGGGAAGCCTCTCTACTCTACTTGCTTTCTGTTCCTTCCTTCCTTTCCCCCCAAATTTCCATCAAATGGTTGTTTCTAGTATCTGCTTAGTCTAGGTACTAATTTAGAAATGGATACTCTAATTCCACCAGAAGATTTTTCCACATGTAGATTCTTATCACGTACATTTTTATGCCTCATATTTGCTGATAGACCAAAGTATGTCATAAGAAACAAAAAATGCTCTATAAACAAATTAGACATTATGCCACATAAATCATTTGAGGAAAAATCTAAGTGCATATCCCTTATATCTCTCAAGTATTGCTGAGGCCAGCCGAATCTAATGATTTAAAAACTCAAGGATCATATTTTGAGAAAATCCATTGACTGGCTGAGTGATCTTAGGCAAACCACTTAACCTTTCTTCCCTGACGTGTGATTATCCACAGAAGGGAGATAATCATTCCTAGCTCATAAATGGTTACTGAGAATCACATTATTTAATGTACATAAATCATTCAGTGCTAATATTAAAATCCAGAGTTAAAGCAATTATTTGCTGACTAGACAGGGATCTCTAAAGAGATTTTTATGAAAATAAATTGCACAGTCAAGATGAGGTGTTCATCTACTTCTGCTAACATTGCTTGTAATGGAATTCAAAATGAAATCCTCGGGTTGCATTATTTAAAAAATTAAAACGTGGTGAAACAGACATATTTTACAGAGTCCTTAACATCCTCGTTGGTTAGATTTATAGTCTTTAGGTAGCAATTTGTTAGAAACATTGAGATTTGGAAAAGACAGTTTATTTAAAATTTTTAGAAAATCCTGCTCAAACTAGAAGTTTATAATGCTTCCAAGGGAAGAGCTGTAAAAATGTAAACAATGGAGAGTGAGTTGGTGAACTAAATCAAGTCCTTTTATATAATGGAATTCTATTCAGCTTTTAAATAGGAGCTATAGTTAATGGGATGGAAATATATTTGTATAAAATGTAAAAAGAGATAAAGACAATTTGGATGATATAGCATTTTAATAAAAATATGCATAGGCGATTAACCCAGAACTATTTTCACTAACATTAACAGTGGCTATCTTTACATGTGGAATGAGAATGATTGTTAATTTGTATCTTTTGTTTACTTGCATTTTCTAAATTTTGAGATTGAACATACAATATTTTTCAATTTCACCTCTTAAGCCAAAAAATTAGTTTTTATAAAAAGCAAATCAAGGATTAAATAATTCAGTATTTTCCAGGATTCCATGCTTTCCTTCCAGGTACATCTATCCATCAGTCTCCTTGCTAAGTACATCTTTCATCGTGCTTGTAATGAGAATTTGTGGATAGGAAACTCACAGTCATATCACATTTCATATCACTTTTGAATAATAGTTTAACTATGTATACAATTTTACAGGTTTTTTTTCTTTTGGAACTTTAAACATAGTACACAATTATTTTCTGCCATCTGTTGCTGAGGTCCATCTAAAGGCAGCTCTTTTGTTCTTTTAATTTTTCTTTCTACAGCTTTAAGATCATCTCTTTATCTGTGATAACGAGCCTAGGTGTGGATCAGTCATTATTTATTCTTCTTAATACTCCAAGTGCACATTTGATCTCAAGAATTACATATTCCTTCAATTTTGGAAAGTTCTCACCTGAGTCACCTCAAACATTGCTTTCGGACATTCTCTGACATCTCTTTTTCTGGAGTTTTTCTAGAACTTATATTACACATTTTTAGAAATCCTGTGAAGTTATTCTCTAAATGTCTTAATCTTGCTTTCATTTTCAAAAATACTCTCTTCATTTCTCTAGCCTATGTTTTTCCTCGGCACTATTTCTGCCCTACCCTTGGGGTCTCCAGGAGCATTTCTTCTATTGAGTTATACATTTCAATGAATATATTGTTTAATCCCCAATATTCTGAACCCTTTCCACATTTTTGGTGTTAATTTGCATTGATAGTTTCTCCTTTCACATAAGTGTTATTCTTTCATTTATGATTTCTAGCACCCTAAAAATACTTCTTTTACGTTTGGTCCGACTTTTCCATAACAGTGATTTTGTTAGAGCGATTCACTTGTCATTTGCTGATTTGCCTGTTTCCTTTCTCAGTCTCTCCAAGTGCGGGCTCGTGGTGAGTGGGAGGTGTTGGTGTTGTTCCCCCCCCTCCCCCATCCCTTGCCATTTTAACTCCCTGTAGCCTTGGGTCATGGACCTTTGGTAGTTCTGTCCTTTGGTGGTATTAAAGGTATCACAGGCCCATTCACAGAGCCAAAAAGGATTGTTTGTTAAATTTCTGCTCATGACACTTTGTGTTCTGTTTTCGTCCTGTGCTGGCAGCTTGCTAAAAGTCAGAATCCCAGATGACAGCGTGTGCGTGTGTGCGTGCGTGTGTGTGTGTGTGTGTGTGTGTGTGTGTGTGTGATCTTTCACAAATATTCCTGAGAGACTAGTTTTAGTTCCCTTAGCTCTACGGAAACGGAGCTTCCCTGTTTCCAGCCTGTATCAGGGCAGGCCTGCGTGTTACCTCTTTTGCTGTTTTGCATTTTTGTCTCTTTGTTGTGTTTGGAAGATATTTCCTTGTTTTGTATTTTCAGTTATCTCTTTTATTAAAAACTTCTCCATCGTTGCTATGTGTTTGATGCTACGAAGGAGCATCAAAATGTGAAGTTATGGAGTCATCTTGACTAGAATTCCCACATTTTTTTCATTCACAATAAGAAAATACAATTATAAAGATCAAACCAAGTCCTTGTCTTTGAAGGGCTGTGCAAGTAGAAAGTAATCTTTAACTTGTGAGAGGCAGAATGAAGAAAAACGAGACAAGCCATTTGGAGGTGCCTTTATGACTTGGCAGGCTTTAAATTTGGAAGGACTAATTTATTTGACTTCTTACATCTCGGGTTTGTTTTGTGCTAAAGGCATTTCAATGCATCTGTCTCACCCTATTTTTCAGTGGTGTATTTCAAAAGCATGTAAGTAAAGTGGCTTGTTTGCTTTCTAGAGATAAACAGGAAGTATGGATTTATTTTTCTTCTCTAAGGTGCCTATGTTTGATTTGTCAAAAAAAATCTGGGAGTTTTATGAGTCACTGGCATTAAACCATAATGAAATTAAATACTTAAAAGGACTATTGTAGTGCAGTGCTGAAGGCTCACAAAACATAGCTCATGCATAACTGCAGTAGCTACAGAGTTTTGAAACCATGATACAGCAGTAACAAACTGAACAGCACCCGCTGCTTCTGGGGATATTGCAAAGCTGACGACAGTGCTGCTTTCACAGGTGCAAAATATAAATGTTCTTTGTCTTGTCACTAGGTTTGGCTATTGGCCTGCAGTCATGTTAGCTTGTCTATTTTAAATTTTGGCCACGAATGAATTTTGCTAGTAAGTTGCTTTATTTACCTGAATTAGACTTTAAGAATGAATGCAAAGCCCTGGCCAGGTAGCTCAGTTGGTTGGAGCATC